CAAAGCTTCACTTAGCCCTGACGACTGTAGTACTATCTATCTGCCCACCTGCACGTGCACAAACAAACACACATATATACACACAGTGTAGAAACTCAGATATATAAGTTAGGCACCAAATGAGCACCTTAAAAGTAGGTTACAGTTGCCACTATGGAATGTCTATTCTATTTGCTACTGAGTTTAACAAGATTACCCTTGGGGTCCCTCTCAACACCACAAGTCTATGATTCTATGATCTCAAATACATTGCTTGGCTGTAGCTTGCTCTTGCAACAAATCACTTGTCTCAGTAGGCAAGAAGGAGAAATACATACAGTGGAAATGGAAGTGGCATTAGCAGTGGACTAAGGCAGATGTTTTTTAACTGTAGTTGCCAACCTGAGGCCCAGAAATCTCCACATAGTCGCAACTGGACCTGCGCCAGTAGCAAAATGCGTCTGGGGAATTTCAAACACCGTATACATCCATATAAAGGTAAAGGTAAAGGACCCCTGACAGTTAAGTCCAGTCGCAGACTACTCCGGGGTTGCGGCACTCATCTCGCTTTACAGGCCAAGGGAGCCAGCAGTTGTCCACAGACAGTTTTTCTGGGTCATGTGGCCAGCATGACTAAGCCGCTTCTGGCACAACGGAACACTGAAACCAGAGCATCGCATGGAAATGCCATTTACCTTCCTGCCAGAGCAGTGCCTATTTATCTACTTGCACTTTTGGCGTGCTTTCAAACTGCTAGGTTGGCAGGAGCTGGGACTGAACAACGGGAGCTCGCCCCGCCACAGGGATTTGAACCGCTGACCTTCTGATCGGCAAGCCCAAGAGGCTCAGTGGTTTAGACCACAGCGCCACCTGCCTTTTGGATTTGGTTTTGGATATGTGTGTATGTACCGTATGTTTCGCCCCATAGGACGCACCGCCCCATAGGACGCACCTAGTTTTTTTGGGGGGGAAATAAAGATTTTTTTTTTTATTTCCCCTCCAGACGCGGGGCTGGCACGGGGGAAGCCCGAGCTTCCCCCGCCCCCAGCCCCGAGAACAGCCTGCTATCTGCAAGCCTAGGGAGCCCGGCGGGAAGACTTCGCGCCGGGCTCCCTAGGGCTGCGCAGAGCTGTGTGAAGCCCGGGACTGCAGGCAGCTCTGCGCAGCTCTCGGGAGACTGGCGCGAAGTCACGCTGGTCTCCCAAGGGTTGCGCAGAGCTTCCTGAAGCCTGCATTCGCCCCATAGGACGCACACACATTTCCCCTTCATTTTTGGAGGGGGAAAAGTGCGTCCTATAGGGCGAAAAATATGGTACATATGTGTACACACATATGTACACATCCAAAACCAACATAGTAACCAGGAGCCTTATTGGCAATATGTTACTGCTTCTCAAACAGTTCTTACCACAGAGATCAACAAGCTAAGACTAAAGTTCACAAAGCACTTAATTGTCATATTCATACTTAATTAACGGAGTTCATCTTGTTTCAGTGTAAATGCTTTTATTTAAATCAGTTTGGGATTGCCAGCTTTCACATCTGCATAACAAACATCACCACTGGAAGCTGGGCTGGGGATAATTAAGGAGCTGATGAAATAAAAAAATTAGTGGGTGCCTCCTATTTACTTGGTTCTGTTCACAATCTGAGTACATTCAGAAACATCCTTAGCGCATCCACCAGGAATGAAGCTAATCCAAACCGATTAAAATTAATAAAGAGATATGCTTTGCTGAATTCAGAGGACCTGTGAAAAAGATTCAGGATGAAAGCTGAAGTGGGAGAAGTTGTAAGTTTTCCCGTACAACCAGGAGGTGAGCAATATGGTAATACATATTTTTGGTGGCCTTCTTAAACTCCTGTGGGGAGTTCCTTCATGATTATCTTAATGTATCACAACTAGTCTTTTAAGCTTTCGTTTCAAAGGCTTGTTTATAGCTGGGGTGAATCAAGCAAATGAGTTGGATTAAAGTGTCGTGAGGGGCATAAGCCTAGCAGGGCCAAAGTGGATTTAGGTTGAGGGGAAGTTTATGTTTGCCTTGCCAGTAGGGTAAAGCTATGCTTCTCCAGGTAGGTGAACCTCCAGCATGAGCAATTATTGTTAAGAAGAAAAGGCAAATTATAAATAGTTAGCCTTCCTTTGCTTAGTAAAACGAAGGCGATGTAGTCTGCTTTAACTAATGGTATACTTACGGAGGACTGAATTGAGCTTTCATCATAAGAGGCAACAGCAAATTACCTAAAGACTTTCTGTTCCTGATGGGCAATGAGAAATGTATATATTAAAAGTGAAGACGTAGAAGCACAAAACAGAAAGAGGACCAGATGTTGCCCCGATGCCATTACCAACAGGTTGCAATTCACCTGCAGTATCTAGTTGCTGCAAGATATGACCTTCCAAAAGCTCTGAGGAATTTTAATGAGGTTCCATTAGAGAGCTCTTCAAGCAGATATGTAATGGAGCAAATTTATCTTCTACTGAATGAATACATAGAAAGTGAGTCAGTTCATCTGTAGTTTTGCTACAGATACATGGGACGTCTCTCCTGATTATGCTGGGAATTTCGTCCCTCTCCCTAGCAATATGAACTGAAACTAACACAATGTATGGTGGCTTAGCGTGAATGTGTGTTAGAACAATTTGGTTCTAGTTCAGGGATGTATTTTATGAGCAGCTTCATCTAGTACACAAAAAAGGGTGTGTGCAGCTAGCAGGATCTTGTGGGGAGCTTTAATACATGGTGTTTTGGAGATGATGGGTGTTTTGTCCAGTACTGAAAGACCTAGGCACTTGTCGTGGGGAGAGGCTGAGTACCAGGTGGTCAATGAAAGGTGAGAAAATAGTGGGATAAAGAAGGGAGAATGTTTCCCAATCTATGTGTATTTTTAAAAGTATCAGTGGCTGCTAAAACATATGCAGCTACTAGTTGTATCACTAGTGATTTTGGCAAAAAATAATATCCCCTTTACAGTCTGGTTCTTCTGTAACTGATCTATGTGTTTGGGCATGATTTCCTCCTCATTTGTGTATTGATAAGCACAAATTGTGCAATTATATGTATACTCTTTCCTTGGTGACAATATATGTAAAGACCTAAATTCATATCTTTCCAGGGGCATCTAGATGGGAGAAGAGTTTCATCTAGGGATGAGCAAATCCGTTCTCTTGGTTTCTCATTTTTCCAATCTTAAATTCAGTTCTCCACATTTTTGCAGCCATTTACCGGTGTGTGCACTTTTTAAAAAGCAAAGAACCCTCATGAAAATTTGTCCTCATTTTAATGTGGCCCTCTTCTAATACACATTTTTCTATGCAGTTTTGACTAGTGCAAGCAGTTTCCCATAATATACTGAAATGCATTTTTGTAAATTATTTAGTCATTTTTCTGCATTTTTATAAATGAGGATGGTTGGAGAACAGCACCTCAGAATTCTGATACATGTGAATTATCAGTGAATTTCTACTGCATCCCTGGCTGCATCTGCTTTTCCAAAGTGCAAGCTCAAAAATGAATTACAGGACTTGCCTGTCTTTTCTCTCTCTGCTCCTCACCGACCCAACCCTTGCCATTCTAAATGCTCAAATAATATGAAGGAAGATGTGTACTGAAAGGTTAACTGCTTAAAAAGGCGGGTGTTGAGGCTGAACAGCTCAAGTGCAACCCCTGCTGTTGTGTAGCAAAGTAGCAATTAAGATGCAGTTTTGCGTTATCTCTGCCTATAGATCCAGGTATTTTGAAGGTATATCCATCTTATTTCATAAACTTTTGGCATGGATGGATTTCTTCCAACAAGGATTAATTTTTATTGTTACCCTGAGAAAGGTATTCGCACACATGTATCAAAAGAGAAATTAACACAGTACGACCGCATTTGGTCAAAACTCCAAACACTTCATTTCCTCAAAAATATTTACATTCTGCCTTTAATCAAAAGATCCCAATGTGATCTAAAATGCAATGCAATGTTGGTGGAGAAATAAGTTCTTTCTTGTCACCACCATCAAGGAAGATGAACTCTGGCCCACATTTAGTTGGACTAGTTTTCTTTCATTGTCACTCCTAGTGTTATTCTGTGAATGGTAAACCCAAATTAATCTGTGGGCTTAATATAGAATTAGGGGTGCTCACTGCCACTTAAATGAGAGATCTGTTCAGGGATGAAGACAGTTGCCCTTGGAAGACTGGGCTAAAAGCAGTCCACACCTCTATGCTAGGTCTTACAGGGGGAGCACTGAAAGGATGATTGCTAACATTTCCCCTGTGAATGAAGAAAGTTGAAGTTTAATCTACTCACATCTCTTCCATCCCCAACACATTTTCAAGGCAGAGTCCTGGCTTTTGACCAATAGCAGCCTGCACCAACTTGGTGCCCTCTAGTTGCTTTGGAATACAAATCCCATAAGCCTCAGCCAGTGCAGCCATTCTGGCTGGGGCTCATAGGAATCATAGTCCAAAACATTGGAGGGCACGAGATTGGTAAAGGATGGCCTATAGTATCAGACAACTGGCATGTGGCAATTCAGGTGATAATGGCCTGTGAACCTCAATGCCAGACCTGCTAATGACCTGTCCATTCCTGTTTATGTACCCTCATGACTGTTGGGGGAAATGCAAATCTGGTAAAGCAAAGTTTTCCAGTTCTGAAGAAACAGTCCAGCCTTCATAGGCCAGTTTTGGAATTATGTTTGGGACATTGAGTTCCTCTAATTTCTGTTGTTGAATGTGGATGGATGCCCATGGGTTGTTCTGATGTGGACTCTATAGGGTTGCTATTCCTTCCTGCATAAATCACTGGAATCGCTGCGTATGCTGAAGACAAATGAACCACCTGGAGTTTGGGAGCCTAAGCCTGCTGCCTAATTTGATGGTGTGGCTGTGGGTAGATGAGCCAATGAAGCTGCTTAAAGAAGAAGTTACAACAAAGTAAAATGATGGTGCTAAGCACACATCATAGAATTGTAGAGTTGGAAGGGACCACAAGAGTCATCTGGTCCAATCCTCTGCAATGCAGGGATCTTTTGCCCAACGTGGGGCTGGAACCCACAACTCTGATATCAAGAGTCTCGTGCTCTACTGACTGAGCTACTATCTCTCAGTGGGAGCATGGTTTTTGGAAATCAATGAAATGAATGCATTGAATGTTCCTCGCTCTGACATTCCCCCCCCCTACAATGTTTAAGCCACAAAGGGTTACATGGAAGTTGGCTCTGACTCTGGGCCCAATGAAGTGTGTCGCACTGGAGCCAGCTAGATGTTCCGCACCATTACCCCCATTATTCCCTTCGTTTCACACCCTGATCCATTGTTTGCAATGAAACTGTACCAGAGACATGGAAAATTACACTTTTGCACACCCCACATTTTGTGCTGGAATGCGTGGAAGTTTTGGAACAATATGCAAGCTCCTCTTTTTGCTGGTCCCAAGAGCCTCAGGTAACGTCTTAAGCTCAAAGAACTGGAAACGAGCGTGCTATGTGAACATGATTTGAACAGGCCATGTAGATCTGTCAGAAGTTGGGATGGGGAGAAGCGAGGGCAGAGAAATAACTCAGATTTCATTACTCCATTTATTAGCACCAATGGAGAAATTCCTTCCAATGCACATGGCGGCTTCAAAGAAGTGGTTTTTGTCAGGTCTGCAGCCAGGGAGGAAAGGGTTAAACTCTCCCTCCTTGTCTGATGTTAAGCATAAGAAGCCATGAGTCATGCTGGTCCAGTAAGAGGGGAAAAAACAAATCCTCAGGCAATACCTTTATGAGGACTAACCAAAATGTCACAAAAAGTGAGCAAGCTTTTGAGTTCTCCATATTGCTTAATTAACATCCAGGCTGCTGAAAACTGCAGAAATGGTAAGCTTGTTTCCCATTTCATGACATTTCAATTGGTTCTACAATAAAGGCACTGCCAGACTGTAGATGTTTGACATTTTATTATGTTTTTATATGTGTTGGAAGCCACCCAGAGTGACTGGGGCAACCCAGCCAGATAGGTGGGGTATTATTATTATTGATTTTTGCATATAGATAATAAATCTTATGTTAGGGTTTTGTTTTGCTTTTTTGCAAGGGGAAATAATACATTTTTGAAATAATTTAGCCCCTGGGACTCTAGGGGGGGAAAGGAGGAAGGTTCTGTTACTGCATTTGGCATTGCCACTGGCCTTCATGGTTGCAAGACACCCTTGGCAAATCCCCCGCCCCCAAAAAAGTGCTCCAAATCTCAAATTTGGAAAGGGTTTCTGGAACATTTCCTGCAAACTGCTTAGAGATGTTACTACAATTGAGTGGATTATATATTTTTGTTAGATAAAATAAATAAAACAACGCAGGAAACTGTTTTACAGCCAGTCAGCCCATACCTAGCTCAGTAAGCGTACCCTGACTGGCAGTGGCCTTCAGGGTTTCAGGCAGGGGTCATTCTTTGCCCTACCTGAAGATGCTGGGGATTGAACCTGGGAGTTTTTACATGCAAAGTAGATGCTCCAGTGCTGTGCTTTGGCCCTTTGCGTCCTCTCTCCAAGGTTGGGAAAGGGTAGCTTTTTAGCTTGCAGCCAGAGACTGGTTAACCTGCTTCTTCTTTGATATCCAGTAGATGGTGCTAGCATATAATGGACTTCCCTTATACAGTATTATCATCATGATCATAGCCAGAGGGAAGGATGTCCTGGAAATACATGCTAAATGTTTATAGCCTTTTCCTGTTGATCTGGCTTGTAATCACCACTCTTTCAATCAACTGCCCCCAGCCCTGATGTGCTGTGTATCTCCTTTGTATGGCAATGTGGCATATTTCTTTCAGAAACTAAAATAATGTAAGAGACATCCAGTGCTGAATTTAATCACACGTCAATAGGAAACTGGTTCCTCCGTGTTAGAGGGGAAGAAAGCTACATTTGCTAGCCAGGGGTTGGGTTTTTGTGGGTCTTTATGGAGCGTTTTGTCTAATTTCTTTACAGAGTGATTATATGGCAACAAGCATTCATCCTGATTGCTTGCAGGGTGCTAACACTTCTCCATATTATTCATTCATTTTATATGTATGCTGCTGTTACACACACACTATACTCAAAGCAGCTTACAAAAAAAGAAACAGGGATGCATTTCAAACAAAAATAATTTCATAATAACACAGCAAAACAATAGCAAATATAATAACATACCAAGAAACCACATTCCAGTACTATAAATATACCAAGATTACGTAAATGGCATGCAGAAACCAATAACAAAAATAGCAAGGGAGCTTTACAGTTTCACCTTAGTCCCTGGGACATTCCTCCCATGGTGTTGTTCAGTGTCCCCCTCTTGTAACAATTTCTCTTAAGGCTTCCAAGGGCAAAGGGTGGGGCAGCTGAAAACACCCCTCCCATGATGGTGCTCATTCATCCCACACTTTTTAATGCATTTGCCTGTCATTTTCCAAACCACAAAATATCAGGAGTTTTAAAAAGTAGGGTGGTTTTTTTTCCGTTCTAGGGCAATTAATCCACTTTAATTGTGCAAGCCTAATTTTCTGGATCGTGTTCTCGAAGCTACCAGCATGAGTTTGACCAAACTGCGGGAGGCAGTGGAAGACAGGAGTGCCTGGCATGCTCTGGTCCATGGGGTCATGAAGAGTCGGACACGACTAAACAACTAAACAACAACAATTTTCTGGTATGCACTTGAATTCCTACTACAAAAAGAGTGACAGTCTGGCAACACCCTATAGCAACTTCTATCATTTGAGAATAGAAGCTCTGCAAACTGGCAGCATGATCGTGAATTTCAATGGCACATATCCTTCTTGACTTCATTATTGGTGTATATTGAGCTGAAAACTGCCTCAATACATGGAAGGTTGAACCATCTAGAATCCTATGTTTGTTTGTTTGTACCTGGGCACAAAGCTTGGAAAGAATATGCCAAATCGTTAAATCATTGTCATCCCTACTCTTGTGGGTTTGTTTTCTTTAATGCTCAAGTACATTCTTTGCCATCTCTTTATTTCTGTGTCATGATATCTGTGTGATTTCAGCACATCAAGAAGGTAAAACAGTTATGTAACATTTTTGCCCCCAAATGTGCAGCTTGTCAGTCCGTATATTTAAGAACAAGAAATGGGTTAGACATGGTTTTCCTTCACTCAAAATATCTGCTTCTTTTCATGGGATTGTTAAAATACATATATTGTACAAGAATTGTCTGTTTGATTCTTTTCATAGCAACAGTTAATTCACGCTGGTCAGCCATCTTTAGTCATTTGTACATCATGCACATTGCCACAAGGTGGCAACCTAATAATGCATATTTGCAGTGCCTGGGAAAGATTGAGGGCACAAGGAGAAGGGGACGACAGAGGACGAGATGGTTAGACAGTGTTCTCGAAGCTACCAGCATGAGTTTGACCAAACTGCGGGAGACAGTGGATGACAGGAGTGCCTGGCGTGCTCTGATCCATGGGGTCATGAAGAGTCAGACACAACTAGATGACTAAACAACAACAAAACCACCAATCTTCACAGATTTCTTCATATAGTTTTGATTTTAAGATGAATCTTGTTCTCTTGCTTTGATGCTCCTACACCAATTGGCTGCCTTTTACCCTTGATTTGGTCACATGAATTGGTTGTGGAAACAAACCACCTGGGATTTCCCTTCCGGCACTGACCCTTCAAAGGCTGCTGCCCTCCGGTAATATTCTTTGGCAACCGGCGTTAGCAGTTTCTTGTGCTTCCTTGATTTTCTTTCTCATTTGATTGACAAGATGGTGGTTGAATGAGGATTGAGGGATGGAAACAGAACTCTGGAGGATGTAGATCTGGAGCAACACCTTTGCACAATCCCTAATACTGGAACTCACTTGTTCTAAGTGAGAATACAGGCTGTCAATCAGAGTTTGGTCACAGAGAGGTGAAGGACACATAGATGTTGAGGTGGTGTGTGTGGCACTCAGAAATCTAGCCTGTATGGAAGCTATAGGTTTATCTTGAATATCACACTTTACTCCCTAGAACTGCTAGGCTAGGGACATAGCTCAGAGCATCTGCTTTGAATTGAAAAGATCCTGGGCTCAATCTCCAGGAACTCCAGGTAGGTCAGGAAGAGATCTCTGTCTGAAATCATGCCAGCCAGTGTAGACATGCTGAGCTAGATGGACCAGTGGACTCAATGGGCTTGACTACTGTCATTCGCTCTACACGGGGCTGCCCTTGAAACTGTCCCAGAAACTCCAGCAGGTGCAGAATGCTGCAGCAAGGCTCCTCACAGGGTCCCTGCCATGGGATCATATTCACTCAGTGCTTTACCAGTTGCACTGGCTCCCGGTGGAGTATCAGGTCAGGTTTAAGGTGCTGGTTTTGACCTTTAAAGCCCTTTGTGACTTAGGGCCCTCGTACTTACGGGACCGCCTCTTCTGGTATGCCCTGCAGAGGACCTTAAGGTCCATGAATAATCATAGTTTAGAGGTCCCGAGCCCTAAGGAAGTTAGATTATCCTCCACCAGGGCCAGGGCCTTCTCAGTGATGGCTCCGACCTGGTGGAATGCTCTGTCCCATGAGACCAGGGCCCTGCAGGATTTAACTTCCTGCCGCAGGGCCTGTAAGACAGAATTATTCCACCTGGCTTTCAATTTGAACCTGGCCTGATCTTTTGTTCCCCTTCCTTCCCTCCCCCTCCCCTTTTTGTGAAGATTGCCTGCTCTGGGATCCCACAGCTGGCTCTCCCCTGGTCTCCTCGTTGGCCCAAGTGGGACTAATTTAGCCAGCTAGCCCTGGTGATCATCTAATGTTTATTGGATGGATTTCCCCCCTAAATTGATTTTTGATTTTTGATTTTATTGTTATTTACACTTTATACCATATTTTATGCTGGGGTTTTTTTAAAGTATCAATTAAGTGTTTTAAATTTGTTGTTAGCTGCCCTGAGCCCGGTTTCCTGAATCGGGAATGGTGGGGTATAAATAAAAAAATTTGTATTAAATTTATTATAAAGCTCTTCCTATGCTCCTATGACATCCCTAGAGCCCTGCAAGGAATAGAAGGCATCACAGGCTGCACATGGCGTCACCATGTTTGGCCATGCTTCTTGCTAGTGTGCCACAGTTGCTGG